TTCAGGTGCCGGGTAGGCCGCAAGTCCCGGAGCTCCGGGGAGAAGGTCCAGTGGCCTTCCCTGGCTGGCGAACAGGGACCGGAGGGTCGTGGGGCCCCCGTCAGGGTCTGCTGCCGCCCAGATGGCAGCGGATTGGGGCCGGGGGAGCAGGAGCTCGCCGAGGACACGTCCGTCTTGCCGGACGTCCGAGTGAAAAGTGAAAGGACTGTACCCTGGATGTCCTTCTTCCTCCTTCTCCATGGCGGCAGCCGGTACACTGGAAAGGCTCACCACACTGACACACTGAGCCCAACATGTCCCCATCTTCACGTGTGTCCCTTCTTCCAGGGGGCGGCACCGCCCCCCTGAAAAATGCAGCCCTAGGCAAACACCTTGTTTGCCTTGTGGTAAATACGTCTCTGCTGCCAGATGACCATAGAGCTGATTGGAGACCGGAATGGTGCCAATCATCACTATAGTCTAAGAAATCGGAAGCTACAAGCTTCAGTTTTGCAGGATATAAACAGCGCCATTTGAAAATTGGGAAAGCATCTGATCACACCGATCTTGATGAGATTAGAGAATGTAAGAGCAGAGGAGATATCTAGAGTCTTATAGACCCAGATTTCTCAAAAAGAATATATGACAATGCCCATTGAAGTTATATGGGATATTTGCATTGCATGTGATAGCATTAAAAGTGTTCAAACAAAAAAACAAAACAAAAAAAAAAATGAAAAGGGACAGTGTAAAGAAAAAAAAAATCAAAATAACGTAAAACATAAAAAAATAAATAAATAAACAGCACCCTTACCCTCCCCCCCCCCCCCCCCCCCCCCCCCCCCCCCCCCCCCCCATGTGCTCGAGGATTGACCTCCTCTGTAAATCTAAAATGGTAGCTTGTAAAGGCTTTTAAAGAGTTGCCTATGGATATTAAAAATATATGCAGTTTGTCGCCATTGTACGGGGCATGGACAGTTTTAAAGCATGTCATGCTTGGCATATTACAGTCATGGCCGAAAATTGTTGGCACCCTTGATATTTTTCCTGAAAATCAAGTATTTCACACAAAAAAGGTATTGCATTAACACATGTTTTGCTATACACATGTTTATTCCCTTTGTATGTATTGGAACAAATATAAAACAGAGGCAGAAAAGCAAATATGACATAATGTCACACAAAAAAACCCCAAAAATGGGCTGGACAAAAGTATTGGCACCCTTAACTTAATATTTGGTTGCACACCCTTTGGAAAACATAACTGAAATCAGTCGCTTCCTATAACCATCATATAAGCTTCTGACACCTCTCACCCGGAATTTTGGACCACTCTTCCTTTGCAAACAGCTCCAGGTCTCTCTTATTGGAAGGACACCTTTTCCCAACAGCAATTTTAAGATCTCTCCACAGGTGTTCAATGGGATTTTAGATCTGGGCTCATTGCTGGCCACTTCAGAACTCTCCAGCGCTTCTTTGCCATCCATTTCTGAGTGCTTTTTGACGTATGTTTGGGGTCATTGTCCTGCTGGAAGACCAGGATCTTGGACGCAAACCCAGCTTTCTGACACTGGGCCCTACAGTGCGACCCAAAATCCTTTGGTAATCCTCAGATTTCATGATGCCTTGCACACAGTCAAGGCACCCAGTGCCAGAGGCAGCAAAAACAACCCCAAAACATCATTGAACCTCCACCATATTTTACCGTAGGTACTGTGTTTTGTTCTTTGTAGGCCTCATTCCGTTTTCGGTAAACAGTAGAATGATGTGCTTTACCGAAAAGCTCTATCTTGGTCTCATCTGTCCACAAGACGTTTTCCCAGAAGGCTTTTGGCTTACTCAAGTACATTTTGGCAAACTGTAGTCTTGCTTTTTTATGTCTCTGTGTCAGCAGTGGGGTCCTCCTGGGTCTCCTGCCATAGCGTTTCATTTCATTTAAATGTCGACGGTAGTTCGCGCTGACACTGATGCTCCCTGAGCCTGCAGGACAGCTTGAATGTCTTTGGAACATGTTTGGGGCTGCTTATCCACCATCCGGACTATTCTGCGTTGCAATCTTTCATCAATTTTCCTCATCCGTCCACGACAGGGAGATTAGCTACAGTGCCATGGGTTGCAAACTTCTTGATAATGTTGCGCACTGTGGACAAAGGCAAATCTAGTTCTCTGGAGATGGACTTGTAACCTTGAGATTGTTGATATTTTGCCACAATTTTGGTTCTCAGGTCCTCAGACAGTTCCCGTCTCCTCTTTCTGTTGTCCATGCTTAGTGTGGCACAGACAGACACACAATGCAAAGGTTAAGTGAACGTCTCTCCTTTTTATCTGCTTTCAGGTGTGATTTCTATATTGCCCACACCTGTTACTTGCCCCAGGTGAGTTTACAGGAGCATCACATGCTTGTAACATTCTTATTTATCCGCAGTTGTGAAAGGGTGCCAATACTTTTGTCCAGCCCATTTTTGGAGGTTTGTGTGACATTATGTCGAATTTGCTTTCTTTCCTCCCTTTTTTTGTTTTGTCCCAATACACACAAAGGGAATAAACATGTGTATAGCAAAACATGTGTTAATGCAATACGTTTCGTGAGAAATACATGATTTCCTGGAGAAATATCAAGGGTGCCAACAATTTCGGCCATGACTGTATTTACTTGGCATACCATCACCACTTTTATATGTTAACAAAATAATTGGCCGATTGTATATTGTATTTTTGTGCATTAAAAGTAAAAAATGTGTATTTTTCAAAAAACAAAATTTGTGCTTGAAAAATTGCTACGTGAGTGCTATGTACCAAACAAAAATTGCAGAACCCACCATTTTATTCACTAAGGTGCCTGTTTTAAAAAAATATATAATGTTTGAGGGTTCAAAGTAATTTCCTAGCAACAAATACTGATTTTTTTTTTTTCATGTGAACAAAAAGTGTCAGAAAAGGCTTGGTCTTCAGGTGTTAGGAATGGACTGGCCAGCAATGGTGGGACTCACCTGCCTTTTGATCTGCAGTACCAGGGGCTGGCCAGCGGGTGCTCCCAGCAATCAGAGACTCAACCTTTCAGCCAGCTAACACCTGGAACTGATGATACTGGGGTATTTAAGGGATGGCCAGACTTGCAGACTCTGCCTTGGTGTTGTGTTTGTCCTGGGCCCTGTATCTGTCCTGCATCCTGTTTCTGTTCCTTTGCTGACCCTGATCTGAACTGCTGCTGACTTCTCCTGCTCTGATCCTGGCTTGTGACCCTGACCACCCTCTGTCTGACCCTCTGTACCTCGCTGCTTGCTACCTGCTGAACCTGGCCTGTGACCCCGACCATTCTCTGCTTGCTCCCCCCGTACCTACCTGCCCAATTGATATTGACCCGGCCTGCCTGACGACGCTTGCTTGTATGTACTGTTATCTGTGGGTGGTTGGTTTGGTTTGTTTGCACTGTATTATGTTTAGTATTGCCCTGCGTTTATGTTTGTATGGTTAGTGTTAATAAATTATATTGTTTATAACATATCTGAGGTCTGCGTTTCCCTGCATCAGTCACACATCTCTGGTCATACCTGGGAGCCCTGACATTACACCAAGGCCAATCCTGACCAGAAGTGGCTGCACAGGGAAGCCATCTTGGCTTGTTGATGGGAAGGATGGATCTAGATGAGGTTGAGTATTTATCTCTGCTAGTGCTTGATGACAGGGAGTATGCTTATCAGACTCTGAAGGAGTATACCCGGGATGATAACTGCTAGAATGTATCCGGCTCACTCATGTTCTAGTAGATCAGGGCACAGTTTTCTCTATGGTGCAGCCATTGATTCAGGTTTGTGTTGAGTTGGTTTCATCTGGTTTCCCCGAATGCAGGGATGAATTTTTGCCACCATTTAGTGCAGACCAGGTAGAGTCCCTGGTGTGGTTATTAGAGGATGATGTGGGTTACTTTCTGGAGCGTTATTCCACATGTTCACCACAGACACTAAGAGATTTGTATAAACGCAGTGCAGTCAGTCATTGACCAGACAGACTTTGTGTAAACTCAGCTTTGTTCAACCCTACTGCAGACATGGACAGATTTGTTGCACCACAGCCTCAGTCAGCTTACAAAGACCCAGTCCTGCTTCTAACTCTACTCCTGTATTCCCAACAGCTCCTCCAGTTACAGCCCAGTATACTTGGCTATCTACCGCATGTCAGTACCCTGTTCCCACTCGCTGCACCTATCCTGCCTTTAACCCTGTAAAAAAGCCCTCTGTAGCAACTGCTCCCTCTCCTGTTCCATCCTCCAGTTTTTCTCTGTCTCCAGCTGCTCCATTCGTTTGCAGACCTGCGTTTACTTGCAGTGCTCCAGTAGTTAAAACCAGAAAAAAGCGAAAATTCTTTCCAACCAATACCATCCTGCCAGTATCCAAAACCGGTGAGCCTGCCTTCCGTGACTCGGCCTGAAGCCTCTACTCAGCCTGAAGCCTCTACTCGGCCTGATGCCTCTCTTCAGCCGGATGCCTCTCTTCAGCCTGAAGCCTCTCCTCAGCCTGATGCCTGCATTCAGCCTGATGCCGCTACTCAGCATGATGAATGATCCAGCCCGACGATCCTATTAGGCCAGTTGACTCGATGCCCGCTGTTGATCCAGATGATCCGGTACCTGATCCAGTGCCCGCTGTCGTGCCAATTGACTCAGAGCCCGCTGTCATATCTGGTGGACCCTCGGTGCCCACTGCCTTGCCCAGATGACGCGGTGCCCGCTGGCAAGCCAAATGACCTGATGCCTGGTGACCCAGTGCCCGCTGTCCAGTCAGACGATCCAATGTCTGACCCAGTGCCCGCGGTCATACCAGTTGACTTGGAGCCCACTGCCTTGCCAGATGACGCGGTGCCCGCTGTCGAGCCAAATGACCTGATGCCTGGTGACCCGATGCCCACTGTCCAGCCAGTGACCATACAATGTCTGACCCAGTGCCTGCGGTCATACCAGTTGACTCGGAGCCCACTGCCTTGCCAGATGACGCGGTGCCCGCGGTCGAGCCAAATGACCTGATGCCTGGTGACCCGATGCCCGCTGTCCGGTCAGACGATCCAATGTCTGACCCAGTACCCGCGGTCATACCAGTTGACTCGGAGCCCACTGCCTTGCCAGATGACGCAGTGCCGCTGTCGAGCCAAATGACCTGATGCTCTGGTGACCCGATGCCGCTGTCCAGCCAGACCATACAATGTCTGACCCAGTGCCTGCGGTCATACCAGTTGACTCGGAGCCCACTGTCGTGCCTGGTGACTTGGTGCCCGCCGCTCCGCCTGGGGGCCCGGGACCTGTTGCTCCGCTTGGGGGTCCAGCGCCGCCGCTCCGCCTGGGGATCCGGCGCCCGCCGCCCCGCCTGGGGGCCTGAGACCTGTCGCTCCGCCTGAGGGCCGAGACCTGTCGCTCCATCTGGGGGTCCGGCGCCGACCCGCTCCGCCTGAGGGCCCCGACGAGACCTGTCGCTCCACCTGGGGGTCCGGCGCCCGCCGCTCCGCCTGAGGGCCCGAGACCTGTCGCTCCATCTGGGGGTCCGGCGCCCGCCGCTCCGCCTGAGGGCCCGAGACCTGTCGCTCCTCCTGGGGGTCCGGCGCCCGCCGCTCGCCTATGGGCCCGAGACCTGTCGCTCCACCTGGGGGTCCGGCGCGCTCGCCGTACTCCCCCTGAGGGCCGAGAGACCTGTCGCTCCTCCTGGGGGGTCGGCGCCCGCCGCTCCGCTCTGAGGGCCCGAGACCTGTCGCTCCACCTGGGGGGTCCGGCGCCCGCCGCTCCGCCTGAGGGCCGAGACCTGTCGCTCCACCTGGGGGTCCGGCGCCGCCGCTCCGCCTGAGGGCCCGAGACCTGTCGCTCCATCTGGGGGTCCGGCGCCCGCCGCTCCGCCTGAGGGCCCGAGACCTGTCGCTCCTCCTGGGGGTCCGGCGCCCGCCGCTCGAGCCTATGGGCCCGAGACCTGTCGCTCCGCCTGGGGGTTCCGGCGCCTGTGTCGCTCCGCCTGAGGGCCCGGAGACCTGTTCGCTCCGCCTGAGGGCCCGAGACCTGTCGCTCCGCCTGAGGGCCCGAGACCTGTCGCTCCGCCTTGAGGGCCCGTGAGACCTGTCGCTCGCCTGAGGGCCGAGACCTGTCGCTAGTCCGCTGAGGGCCCGAGACCTGTCGCTCCGCCTGAGGGCCCGAGACCTGTCGCTCCGCCTGAGGGCCCGAGACCTGTCGCTCCGCCTGAGGGCCCGAGACCTGTCGCTCCGCCTGAGGGCACCGAGACCTGGTCGCTCCGCCTCTGGGGGTCGCGGCGCCCGCCGCTCCGCCTGAGGGTGGCCGAGACCTGTCGACCTGTCTCCGCCTGGGGGTCCGGCGCCCGCCGCTCCGCCTGGGGGGCCCGAGACCTGTCGCTCCGCCTGGGGGTCCCGGCGCCCGCGCTTCCGCCTGAGGGCCCGAGACCTGTCGCTCCGCCTGGGGGTCCGGCGCCCGCCGCTCCGCCTGGGGGCACGATGCCTGTCGCCCCGCCTGGGGGCACGATGCCTGTCGCCCCGCCTTGGGGGCACGATGCCTGTCGCCCCGCCCGGGGGCACCGGACGATGCCTTGTCGCCCCCTGTCGCCCGAGCCCGGGGCACGATGCCTGTCGTCCCCGCCCGGGGGCACGATGCCTGTCGCCCCGCCCGGGGGCACGATGCTGTGTCGCCCCCGCCCTCTCGGGGGCACGATGCCTGTCGCCCCGCCCGGGGGCCAGGTGCCTGCTGCTCCGCCCGGGGGCACGATGCCTGTCGCCCCGCCCGGGGGCCCGGTGCCTGCTGCTCCGCCCGGGGGGCACGATGCCTGTCGCCCCGGGGTGGCACCGGGGGCACGATGCCTGTCGCCCCGCCCGGGGGGAGTCTCGCCGGATGCTGCTGCTTCCGCCCGGGGTGCCCGGTGCCTGTTGCTCCGCCCCGGGGGCCCGGTGCCTGCTGCTCCGCCGGGGGGCCCGGTGGCCTGCTGCTGATCCGCCCGGGGGCCCGGTGCCTGCTGCTCCGCCCGGGGGCCTCGGTGCCAGCTGCCTCCGCCCTGCCACGGTGGTGCCTGCTGCACCGCCCGGGGGCCCGCTGCCTGTCGCCTCCCGGAGCCGGGGGCCCCGCTTGCTGCCCGCTGTTTCGCCCCGCCCGGGGGCCCGCTGCTTCGCCTGGTAATCCGATGTGCCCTCTGCCCGGTCTAGTCCTGCCCGATGTGCCTCTGCCCGATGTGCCTCTGCCCGGAGTCCCTGCCCGGTCTGATGTGCCTCTGCCCGGTGTGCCTCTGCCCGGAGTTCTCCTGCCCGATGTGCCTAGTGGAGGACTGCCCGGTGTGCCTCTGCCCGGAGTGCCTTCTCAGCAGTGCCTATGTCTGCTCGATCCGTTGTCGCTGCCCGGAGTCCTGCCCGGTGTGCCAGTCTTTGCTATCCCGCCAGTTGCCAGTGGGGTCCCGGGCGGTAAAACCCGGTCGGTGGAACATTTTGCCCAGCTAGGACTGTTTGGAGCGTCCTGAGGCCCGCTCTTGAGGGGGGGGTACTGATTAGGAATGGACTGGCCAGCAATGGTGGGACTCACCTGCTTTTGATCTGCAGTACCAGGGCTGGCCAGCGGGTGCTCCCAGCAATCAGAGACTCAACCTTTCAGCCAGCTAACACCTGGAACTGATGATAACTGGGGTATTTAAGGGATGGCCAGACTTGCAGACTCTGCCTTGGTGTTGTGTTTGTCCTGGGCCCTGTATCTGTCCTGCATCCTGTTTCTGTTCCTTTGCTGACACCTGATCTGAACTGCTGCTGACTTCTCCTGATCTGATCCTGGCTTGTGACCCTGACCACCCCTCTGTCTGACCCTCTGTACCTCGCTGCTTGCTACCTGCTGAACCTGGCTGTGACCCCGACCATTCTCTGCTTGCTCCCCCCGTACCTACCTGCCCAATTGAATATTGACCCCCGGCCTGCCCTGACGACGCTTGCTTGTATGTTGACATGTTATCTGTGGGTGGTTGGTTTGGTTTGTTTGCACTGTATTATGTTTTAGTATTGCCCTGGTTTATGTTTGTTATGGTTAGTGTTTAATAAATTATATTGTTTATCACATATTGATGAGGTCTGCGTTTTCCCTGCATCCAGTCACCCACTATCTCTGGTCATACCTGGGTAGCCCTGACATCAGGTTGCCTAGAAGAAAAAGTTGATGTGTGGCATAAACTTCTAATGCTAGGCATAAAATGCCCCCACCCCCAAAACAAGCTTTTTGGAATTTAGATACCCCAAACTATTAGCTGAGGGGATCCTTGTTTGAGTCAGTAGAAACATTTATGTTTTTACCCAAAAAGTTTTTAGAAAATGCAAAAAAAAAGGTTGTTTTTTTTTTTTACACTAATATTTTCACTTACATTATTGCTCACACATGCCATGGGTATATGTGGCCTTACTCTCCAATATATCATTCTGCTACTTCTCCCGAGTATGGGGGTGTCTACAATCATGCCCCACAGGGAGAGGTTGTGTGGTTCTCCATTTTACCCCAAACTTCTACATTTGTGTATTGCTTTTAAACTCATATGCCATCACCTGAGGGGGGGAGGTGTAGTATCATGCATACAAGAGCCAGGCACAGGCTCTCGCTGTATCTAAAAAGTTTTCTGTATCCCTCATTCTGCCCTCCCTCTGGAAATGCTTTCAGTATGACTGTTTAAATAATCCTCTTGCCAAATAATGTAGTGAAGATACCAGTTGATTTTGTGTAATAAAATTTGGAATGTTTGTTTTGTGTGTATATTAGTCAGAGCAGTGAGGACCGTCTGAGATATAACATCTAACAGACAGAAAGCAAAGGAGAATCTCGCAGCAACAACGAAACCGAGTGGGAGACCAGAAATTCCTTTTTTTTTTGCATTAACAATTTTTATTGGTTTTTCAAATAAGTATACAAACAACAGTATGCTTGCAAAAGGGGAAAAAAAAAAAATAACAACAGAAAGGTACATCGATGGTAAAACTACATAGGTTCAGGACCACACAATGTCATAAAATAACAGTGTAGAGGTTATTAGGACCTTACATTTTGGGCCAGTGAAGTAGAAATGAAGATATCCCATGGGTGCCATACTGCCTCAAACACAGCAATGGAAACAACTATGTAGGGCGGTCAAATACTCCATCTGTCTTACATCAGTGCAATAATTTTGTATAAGATCGGCATTTGAAAGGGGGAGTAGAGGAAAGCCCAGCACATTAGCAATGCTTCTCCTAGCCGCGGTGTCAGGACATGTACAGAAAGTTTCCTGGACATTTTAGATTAGTCCTGGGAATGGTAGACTTAATAAAAAGTATAATAGTTCAAATGGGAGAGAGGTATGCAATAGCGATTGTAACAGGGAAAGAACTTTCTTCCCAAAAGGGAGGAACTAATGGAACTGCATGGTTCAAAAAACATATGGTAGAAAGAACCAAGGTGCTTTTACCACAGCGCCAGCAGGTAGAAGTATTTGAGTTGTAAGTGTGGAAGACTTCAGGCGTTTTGTATACCACCTACATTCATGATTCTTGTGTATGTATTTTCCTTAAAGACAACACAAACAGGAGATCTACATGCGTCTTTTCCAAATGTTCTTTTCCACATTATAAACAGGGTTATGTCACATTGTAAGAATTGAGACCACTTCGCATGTATAAGGTGAGTGTCATTGGATAAGGAAGGGGCGTCCATATGGAGTTTTATATATGTGTTAGAAACATGAGATCCCCTTTCGATGTGGACCCATGTATTGCATAAAGTTCAAAAAGGGGAGTAGGTTTCCCGAGGATCAGTCGTCAAGGTCCTACCTTTTCCCTGAGTTTATGTTTACTCCATGTGCTGGCCATCACTTCTTGGGTATTATGCTGTGCATGGATGGGAATCCTTTTTTATGCCTTCAGGTCTCTGAGGTCCCTACCCTCAGAGGTCGGGTGTGGGTGATGACCATATGAAGCCTGTGGACGTCCCCCCGCACATGCTTCTTTGCATTGTTGTCTTGTGTTCTTTGCTGTTACTGTATTACTCTGTTCTGACTTCACGTGACTCTCCTGGTATTCTGATTTGGATTGTGACTTTGATTGTTTTCTTTGTATTTCCTTTGATCTGACCCTTTATGTGATGAAACCTCGGGCTCGGTGACTATGATTTATCGTTGATTGTCCTGTATGTTTTGTCATGGTTGTTGTTGACCCCGGCTGTCTGACTACTTTTGTCTACTTTCCACCAGATAAACGACCATTGTCGGCGGCCATT